AATCGGTCTGACTGCCGTTGTATGGCGTGGGTTCTGCACACTTGGGTCCATTAGTAGTGACGGTGCGGTTGTAGGAGCTGGAGCAAGTTGTAGTTGGGCGCGGGCATGGGCATCGATAATGGCGCCTTCAACTCTTCGATCTGGGGGCAGGGAACGGCCCAGTGGTTGGAAATCCCAACAGGCTTAACCTAGGGGGTGTGCTGCCTCGTCATAAGCGAGACGCTTCGATGCGAGTACTGATTTGCAAAAAAAAAAGGCAACTCGATCGGATTAGCAATTGGCAGCGTTCTGCCATAGAATTCGTATGCCATTCCAGTATCTTAAGAGGTTGCCTTCTTTGTAGGCTTGCGCAGCGGCAGCGGCTACTGCTTGGTCAGCAGTGGAGGCGAGGGCGCTTCCACGAGGGTAAGTAGCAATGGTTGCGTAGCGGAGACGATAGACGCAGCAAAGTGTAACGAAACTAGTCTAACCCTTACCAGTAGTATGGAGGTAGGGTCTTATGCGGGTGCTGGATACGCTGGGAGTAATTTGCTCAGCAGGGGTTCAGGGCAAGTAGATACATAATTCAGGTTCAAGTGCTGAAGCAGGGCAAGGTTCACAAGGTTAAGAAGGTGCAAGAACTAGGATGTTTCGACGTTCCAGAAGAGCAGATACTGATACAGAACCGTTCAAGCTAACAGAATTTGCTGTATTGGGCTGGCATGTCAGGTTCCCTCAGCTGATATGAGTTTGGACTCGAGTAGTGATGATCCAGAGAACTCACCGAAGTCTACTTAGAGATAGGTGAATGGAATTAGCAGAAGTTAATTAATAGAGATGTGCGTAAGGTAATGAAAGTTACAGCGATGGAGAATCCCCAAGAATTTGCTTTTAGAATACAAGGATTTCATAAAAATATTTGGTAAAGAGGTGCAATCAACCCTACCAACTCATGGACCTCAGGACGTGGTAATCGACCTCGAACAAGGATAAGAACTACCATCAGGAAAAATGCACATAACTGGCAAAATACGACCGAGCAAGAGTAGTGCCGGTGCACCAGAAGGATTTGAACCAAGAAGTATTCGAGATTTTGTTAACCAGCTTCGGCACGATGGATTAGTGACCCAACTGGTACAGTTAAATTCAAAACATAGAGCATAAAAGCAGACCGCTATGGGAAGATATCTTGATGTGCTATAGGAACTCTGGCTTGACTATAGCTCGCAAATTGGCTTGATTGTGGTTGGTTGTCTTTGATATATTGTGATTCATTAGTAAAGAGGGCGTATTGAGCTACAGAAAAACTCCGCCATTTGTCCCTGAGCCTCATACTGTCATAAACCTTGCTCGAAGCTTCAAGGGGGTATGAGGATCGCGGATCATGCACACCAGTAGTTCCCAACACCGCTCTCGGAGAGTTAAGCTCATGAAGCCTTGCTTTTGGTACTACTTTGTAAATTAGCATTCTGCAAATGGTGCAGAACAGCGACGGTTGGAGCTAGACTTTTTGCAGGTGCATGAGACCGGAAGGCGAACAGCTGCGGATACCTGGCGAGCAGCATTAGGTGTGATTATAGCCGGAGTCTCTGGAATGTCGCCCTCTAGGCATATAGGTAGGCCCATAAGCTCGGTAGGTCTTCACTCGGATAATGGTTAACAGGTCGGGTCCCGAGACACCCAAGAACAGCTAGTTTGACAGACCCATATAGAAGAGGAATAGGTGGAAGGAGAACAGTGTGAAATACGGTATACCGGTAGGCCTTATTCACCTACCTCTACCGGACATTCACAGGAAGATGATTCGAGAGAAAGTTTCGCAATTGCGCAAGTACCTACTTGGGTAAAATATTGAAGTACAATTGACCCTTTCAGTTAGCAGTCTAAACCACAAGCAACTATGTTTATGTAGACTTTTAGTGTCTTTACTAGGTCCAGGTAGTCTGAGTGGTGTGATGCAAAAAGCAATCATGAAACAAGCCTCCACCGAAGGACAGGGGCTCTGGAAGAGACTGCTAATGTAGCTACATATTCACAGGTATTGTGGAAACAATCTTCGTGGATCTCACCAGTCTGGTTCCCAGTCCTGGGCGGCTACTCGGGCCATCGCTTCAGTCACGGTCCTTTGACCTGAGTTCGACCACCACAAGTATCTTATCTTTCAAATACAGTATTTCGGAGTATTTGAGTATTTTCCAACGGTGCTGAATATCCACTAGGCACTCAAGTAGAATGGGGTACAACGTCAGAACCATGACACTGGGATGTGTTCCACCAAAGCAATCTATTGCGGGGCTGGTAATCAAGGAAGGACATACCACTATTGTGAAGCTTATCCCTGATGGGATGGGCCAGAGACAGATTCTGTCAGTGCGCGCCTTGACCACAAAGTTTAGTAGGTATACACCCATAACTCGACAGTTGTCACTACGGCTGTCAAAAGGCCATCGGAGAGTTAGCTTATGCGTTCCTCGACAAAGCTCCCGCGTACTTTCCTTATTACAAACGATAATAATATATCTAATTATTTCAAATTGCTATCAATAGGCTTCCAATTTACTCATAGCTGAATCGTCAATTTTGTCAGTGATTATTCTTTCCTAACCTGGAGAAATGGAAACTCGTTACCAGTACCGTGGTTAAAAGTCGTATTCAAGTTTACGTAACGACGGATTGATCCATAAAACAATGTATTGGGTACTGCACGGTCCAGGTTCTACCTAAGACATGTGCGAAGATCTTCCGGGTCGTTGGATCGGTCAGGGGCACCATCCAAATGGAGTTTGTGATAATCCTAGCATGATGACTATAATACAAGCTTTATGGCACCTTGAAAATTCCTGTTCGTTGATTGATTCTCTTGAAATACAGGCAACAACTTGTCACCCTTTTTCTGGGTATGGCACGAAAGTGGCGTCAATTTATGGTCAAGATATACAATGGCAATATATCGTCATGGAAATAAAGTTGCAGCAGTTTGTGTCACCCTCACATTTTGTATGCTTACTCTTCTCGTGGCAAGATTATATACCCGAAAATATGTCGTTAAGTCCTTTGGTGCAGATGACATCTTCATGTGTATGGGTGGTGTGAGTTATCCTAGCTGATGGATTTTTGTACCCTCCACTAATTATAGGGAAGCTAGATTGTCTGCGCCCTTCTTTTGCCCGGCATCATCATAGGTTGTTGTTTGATTGTTTTTCACCCCCTTCAATTGTAAAGTTGAACCAGAGGCATCTAGCTCATGTGATACTTAGTATTCATTGCTGACCGGAGCAGGAATCTATAAATATGAATTCGGATTTACGCCGGAAACCGCACGCCCTACTTCGATAACTGCGGCCCGTATTGTGAGTCTGTCCCCTTGCGACTTCACTCTATCATTTGCAGAGCGAAGTTTCTGACTGACTAGATAACCTATATAAATATGATCCTTTTGCAAGTCGGTCTGGGGCTCACCAAAGCCTCACTTATGCTGACGGTCAGAAGATTCGCTCGTTCTAGCCTAATTTACATTTATTTTATACAGGCCATGGTCATCACTGTGCTTATATTCACCGTGGCTTCAACTTTGATCCTCACAATAGGGTGCCACCCAATTCGAGTCGCTTGGGAGGATGCCGGTCCCAACGCACATGGAAAGTGCCCTGGTGTCAGAACCTATTTTATCATCATGTTTGTTCACATGGCTACAGACTTCATCACCCTTCTTTTACCGATGCCATTGTTGTTGACGGTCAAATTGCCCTTACTTCACAAAACTTTTCTTATCTTCTGCTTTACCCTAGGCTCAATGTGAGTGGTGAGCAATAATACCTGGCACAAGCCAAGACTGACAAAAGAATAAACTAAATATAGTTCCGTTGCTGCAAGTGTACTCAGGCTGTATGCCATTCTCAAAGCAACAAGCCATGTTATATGGAATTTCTGTAAGTTGATCCCCACACGTCCCCCTCATGCTCTTTCATGGCTGATGTGATTTTGATAGTGGCACTTGAGCCATTGCTCTGGCAAGTGTAAGCGTTCACATATGTAACCCCGGATGAATTGGATAACGAACGATCTTGAATTTAGAGTTGAGGCTGACGTTGCGGTCATCTGTGGTTGCCTGTATGCCTTGAGTTTGGTTCTTACATTCACCGGGGAAAGAGCTAACTGGCACGTGCCCATTCAATTAGTCCACCTTTGAACGCTTTCATTCGATCCTATCTTTTTAAAAGGACATATCGCCACACTATAACCCCGGAGATACACACACCGCGTCCAGCAAGACCCACCTCTTTTGCTAGCGGACTAGGGGTGAGTTCTCAGGCTCTCAACTGGCAGGATGCAGGAACTTGGGATGGATATGAACAAACCGGTGCCCCCTACAACGGATCTATGGACCTTGAACTCTCGTCATTGGAAAGCTCAAGTAGGCGAACCACGGAAGGCTTGTGTCTAGAGTGTGTTGATAGCTATGAGCGTTGTAGAAAACACCACTTCGGAATTGTTGATAGGGAGAGACGGCCCCGTAGCAGAAGCCCAGAAGCAAGCAAAGCATGGGCGGGGATGGACGACTGGAAGAGACCAAGATCGTGCGGAGAGCTTGGAGGGAGCAGAAGGAGGGGCATGCATCAGCAACAAGCAAGTTGGTCGCCATAGATAAAAGATGTACAAGGGGGGAGAAAAACATATGTGCGAATACAGAAGCTATCTTTTTGGGGATGAGTTCGAGGACTTAAATATATTTCTAGATTTTGGCAGAGTGGCGTTACGGTTTTTTCTTGTTTTGTGTATATACTGTACATACATATATACATACATAACATGTGTATACCTGAAGTTATACATACCTTCGGTGTTGGAATAAATACGATATGCTAATCATATCGCCGCAAATCGCCTGCGATGTTATCAGACAGTTGAGACCTGTAGAGCACTAACTAACCGAGAGGTTGTGGGATTGCACACTTTCTGTTATATATACAGACTATGTTATAATTTATAATATTCTTCTTCAAGCTTCTTCTATAAGCATAGGTTGTGTGGTGTAATGGTAGCACGTATCGTTGTGGATTTAATAAAACCCTAATGCCCCGATACAATCGCGGTTCGATTCCGTGCACAGCCAATTTTTTTAACTTTTCTTTCTACCTTGTTCTTTTCAGCAAACTAGGAATTCTACTTTTTACGCATCTGCAATAGTTCGCTAGTACATACGCTTACAAAGTAAGTTCCCCTTCTCAATGGAATCTCAAAACATAGAAATATTCAGAAACACCTCATACTCTGAAAGCACTCTCGTCCACACACAAGACACTGCTCAAGGTAGGTGGAGGGCAACTTGACTTTAGTAAGAATCCCCACGCAGTCTGATTGTGCGTAAAGCCAACATTCAAAGGTGTACGCCCTACGGAGCTCCCTTGACCGGGCGTAGTTCTTCGTCTTCTGCTGCGGAGGGGCTAATTTCAGGCGCCGGAGCAATTGGCAGTGCCTTTGAGAGGATGGCCGATGTAGGAATCGCAAGTGGTTCTTTACTATTCTTGAATAACCTCGGGTGCAAGATCTCCCGGCGTACAGCTTGATATGATGCTGCTGATCGTTCTCTATAATGCGGTTGGAAGAGCATTCTGTTTTACTTGTGAGAGGAAGGAGCCAGGAGCTTAAGGTGCGGTTGCACACAAAGTTAAATCTGGATCCACAAGACCAATTGATTCAGACTTCAAAAGTTTAGTTCTGAATGCGCGTATAGAATTCCTAAATATTGGAATAATCCGAACAAAGCTATGGAGCAAATTCCTACAGGCAGCTCGCATGAGCATAGACCCTACATATCCCCGGGATTATCTAATTCCGAGCTGCTGTGCAAGTAAATTGGACAATTAGGTATGATAACAACCATTTATCACACGCCACTCTTGGTTATTCACCGTAGACCTTCACCCAGTCGGCTTAGAACTCTGAATCAACTTCTCCACCCCTCGATACCCGATTCATTCAAGCCCCATCACCATCCTGAAGATGCATACAAGTCAGCAATTCCAATTCCTAACCAGGTCCCCGCGCCTCTCAACCCCAAAACACTCCCAGAACCTCCTGATGCCCATAACTAGAGTCCGTATAAACGTGCGTGGTGGTTGGAAACTTGGGGGAAGTAAGAAATGAGCCTTCCAAGGTCATCGAATGGAATAAATATTTGTGTTGAAATATACAAGTACCAGTGCAGTCGGCGAGCCATTAATTCTAAACTGTCGAGGGTTCCAGGGAAGGAGGTTGTGGAGGGATAGTAGGTTTGTGCGTGAGTGGGGTGAAGGAGAGTGGTGAGGAGAGGTCCTGTGACGAGGAGAAACTTCGTGTTATATATGAACGAGGCCATATGATAATATTTATGTAGGTAGATACCATGGATTTCGTTAACAGCACGCCTTCTTGTACTTTAGTTATACTCTCTTACGTGGATTACATAGGCAATTGTAAACACCGCAGCTTTATTGCCCGCCAGATCTAACTCTGAGGCATAGGATTTACCTCTCTGTAATTGGAATTGGATGTCTATAGGCAAGCCCAAACAATTAGGATCTTAAAGTGATCTAGTTTAGGACTAGGAATTTGATATACGTCTCTATACGTTTTTAGTAAATAAATTTCCATGGCTCTGGGTACGAACATCACATATCAACGTTAACGCGATTGGAACACTAGTGACCAGGAACTTTGACATAGTATAATATATAGTATTTTCCAGGGGCTTTGGTACAGTCTTTCTCATGTATAGCTGGTGTACGCGGTTGTTGTAGCAGCTCACCAAATTAAATTTTAGAGGTACGACAATGGCAAGTAAATATCAGGGTAACAGCTAGACGTAGAGTCTCGCTCAACTCCACTCCATTAGCTCCGTCTTTGTGGCGTGCTCATATTGCAAAAAAAAGTGGCGAATCAATGATTGAATTGATATAAACCGTTATTATTGAGCCCTCAATCTTTATAACTGAGCAAAAACAAACATATAACTTTCAACAGGTACAGTACACTCCTCAAATTAACAGATAGATAAAAGGAGATAACAAGATCCATAATCACTCTCAACAAACGTCAAGTCGTACTAACAGGAAGGAAGATCACTTGTCAGACGCCCACTTAACCTTAAGCATCACCTTGACATCGTCTATGCCTGTCCTCATGGATCTGGTGCATCCTCTGCATTAACAACTCTCTCTCTGTTTCAGCCCCTAAATGCTCCAAAACGCTGAGCTGGTACTCAGCAAGCTCAATATATTCTTTAAGCTCCCTTTCTAACTCGACATGTGCCTTGTCCAAATCAGATATTATCTCCATAGAATCCTGGTACAATGTCCAGAACCTCTCTTTCTCCTGCCGGTAAAGCTCTTGAATTCCTTTGCCTTTTTCATTTTCAGCCTCCAGCCACTTGTTGTTGCTCTGAGAAATTTCCAAAAGCCTCTTCAGCCGATTATTCTCTTCATGATACGCCTTAAATTCCCTCGCCCACTCCTCCTGCTTCTCCTCATGGCTTTCCGCATTCTTCCTCAGAGCAGCTATTTGCTTCCGAACCATCTCTTGATTATCGTAACTAGCGAGAAACACGTGTGACAGTAGTTCTTTGCTCAAAGTTCCATCTAGTGCTGAGCGTGTGAGGTGCTTGTGGAGTCTGTCTATATAGGCGTCTCTCGACATCGACTTCTTTTTGTTGGATCTCTTCTTCCGAGTTTGATGCTGCGCCTCTCGGAGAGCCTTCAGTCCTGGCAGGCGTATCGTAATACGAGTCTTTGGTGATTCACTGCTTCCAGTAATACATACAGAAGGATGGGAGATTTGTGTATCTTGCGTGGGGGATGGGTGTTTAGAACTGTCCTCATGAGCCTTGACTAGCTGTGGTTGCAGTAGAAGCCTCCTCATTGCGAGGATAATATTATCCTCCGTTTGTCCTTCTACTTTCTCCTGAGCCTCGGAGACATCTCCCTTGTATCCCGTTGGGATTACCGAATACTCCGTTCCCATGAAATTATGATAAGAGTACCCATCTCTTGGTAGAAGTAGTAACGATGTAGCCGTCGCCATTGCGAATATTGATGCTTGAGACTTGTAGATGTCGATACTAGCTGATAAGTGTGGGGATTCTCGTAATACCGTATCCTCTTGTCTAGAGAAGTGCTCTTTGGTCCGAGGGTCAACTTCGATAGTGATAGTTGGGTTCTGAGAACGTGGTCTGACGGCTCAGCTAGCTGTGTCTCTGGTTTCCTAAAAAGAAGTGATATATAGGATAGAAGAAGCCAAATCTCCGCAGGGGATAAATATAGGTCAAGAACTTTTTGCTCTGCCTGTACGATACGATGCTCACGTAGATGGGAAGAAGCTTAATGAAGAGTCCTAGGAGCAGGGCTGGAGGTTCCCTAAAGTATAGCTTTCTCTGCCAGAATCCATTACAGCTTCTCACAGTCAATTATCTTTTAAGGAATTTCCAAGTCAGGCTAATCATTACTTGTACCCCTGAGCTTCCAATTACCGTATGTTGAAACTCCCCGGTACCCTGTGGTTCGATAATATACTTAGTATACAAACGCCGTGCATCGAGTGCTAACAAGAACAAGAACATAATTTAAATATAATACAGATATATATACACAGTTGGTAATGATATTCCGCTCACAGAAAATATAATGCCAATGACCGAATAAGGATTCAATTCAGGGATAGTGATTACGAAAAAAACAGTTATATATAGGATAGGTAGCTTGGATTCTAGCTCTCGCAAGAGTCTGCAAGCGAGTGACAGTCGTGCTAGAGTAGACTTAATACTTTAGCTGTCAAAGGAGACATCCTTTCCTCTAGGGCAGCGCTGTGCAAACTACGCTGGCCGTATACTCTGAGTGCACTGTATATAATGTCGTAGACTTATTAACTGTTTGACTTCCACTAAGCATGATTAAACAAACCTTAACTTGCAGATAACGTACCAAACTCTTAATTGGCCCAATCTACTGATCATAACTAGATAGCGAGATAGAATTACTCGGAGAAAGTAATACTGACAGATTATACAAAAATAAGCCGTTTTTGAATCTTGTGTTTTGCTTCATGCTGTATCACCAGCGGGTTGGATACTGATATGATCCCACGACTAAATTGATCATGCATTTTCAATTTGGCTCCTTTTGTTCAGAGCTGCGTCTAGAAGCCCTCTATCGTAATACTCTCCTTTGAACGCTTATCGACATCGCGCGACATGTACATATATATTAATTTGGACTCCCCTCTCGGCTGCAACTATAGAATTGATTGATATCGATTATTACCAATCCTAAAGGAATGAATAAATGAATCCATACGGCATCGGTTAGGTGGTAATTCTGCTTTCAGAAGTCTTGATTTGCTGTGCCCAGCACACCCGCTTGATTACCCATAATCTGAGTTTCTTTTCTTGCTATCCCCCCTTTTATAGATCTACAGTAATACCATCTCCCTGACTTGAAGGGCTGGGCCCCCATGAGTCCAGCCAGCCACTCACCACTTGTGACCTGCTTTCTCGAAGTCACTTGGTGCCTGGGATATAGGTGTCGAGCCTCTCAAGCATCTAATAATAGCCACTTCCACTAAAATATTTCCTAAGGATAATTCCTTCTTTGGTATAGCGTCCACGGAATGCCTGATCTGTTTCCTTGCGCCAGGCCTAAACGGGTAAACCGTTACACTTACAGGGGAATAGGATGATGTTTGGCAGGTGTTGTGTGCATGTGGGATCTCATATCATCATGTAATAGAATACATCGAATGAAGTTATGGTTGCTCATGGTGGTCTATAGGGTGGCCTCAAACCACTTGATGTCAATAGTAAAGCAGTAATAATTTTGCGTAGCTGGAAAAGAATTCAACAGCCACCAGCTGACATTAGAAAGGTGTTGGTGCTGACGGATTAGTGCCTTAAAAAAGGGGTCAATGACGTCTTGAGAGGGCATATAGGTTCGCGGAAAATCACAGACTGGATCCGATTTATACATCTGATTCTGTCTTGCCTTCAGAGTTTGCTTTACCTTCAAGGCAGATATTGGAAATCTGCCAACACCCACCTAAAGCTAACGTTTACAGACAAATATACAGCCCACGTATGATTATGGC